GAAAAGAATATCCTTAACAAACTTATATGCTTAACATATTTATATTATATGCTTAACATATTTATATTATATGCTTAACAAACATAGGAAATATCAGATACTAACACAGAAAAGAATAACATAGAAGAACAAAGAAAAAGAACACAGAAAAGAATAACATAGAAGAACGAAGCAAAGAAAAAAAAAGAACACAGAAAAGAATAAATAAAGAAATTAGTTATTTATTTAGAAATGATGAAGTATTGAAGTTTATATCATTAATTATTTTCAAATTAACAAGAAGAAGATGTTTCTTTTGTTCTTTAGATCAGAAGAATTGATTTTAATATAATCAATAACATTAACATAGAAGATATAATAAATAACATAGAAAATATAATCAATAACATTAACATAGAAGATATAATAAATAACATAGAAAATATAATCAATAACATTAACATAGAAGATATAATAAATAACATAGAAAATATAATCAATAACATTAACATAGAAGATATAATAAATAACATAGAAAATATAATCAATAACATTAACATAGAAGATATAATAAATAACATAGAAAAACAAAACAAAGTATATCAAAGAAAAACAAATCGAACACTCATAGAGGTATTATGATTTATAGCTTAGTTTGGGGAAATTATCTCGTTGGTTTCTGCGTTAAAATACTGAATTCAGCCGTTGTGATCGGATTCTATTATGGATTTCTGACTACATTCTCCATAGGACCGTCTTATCTCTTCCTTCTTCGAGGGCAAATCTTAGGAAAGGGATCTGAAACGAAAATATCAGCAACAACCGGGTTTATTACGGGACAGCTCATGATGTTTATATCGATCTATTATGCGCCTTTGCATTTGGCATTGAGTAGACCTCATACAATAACAGTCTTAACTCTACCGTATCTTTTCTTTAATTTTGTCCACAAAAATGACAAACACTACTATTTGGGTTCGGGATCCAAACTGGATTCTGAATACAAGAATCCAAATTCAATACGTCATTTTAGGATTGTTAAAGTATTCTTTAACAATCTTTTTTTTCAGTTATTAAACCCCTTTCTTTTGCCAAGTTCAATCTTAATAAGATTAATGAACATTTATCTGTTTCGATCCAACAATAAATTGTTATTCTTAACAAGTAGTTTTGTTGGGTGGTTAATAGGTCACATCTTTTTAATGAAATGTATTGGATTGGTATTAGTCTGGTTACAGCACAAAAAGTCGATCAAATATAAGATAACTATGAAATTTGATAAATACATTCTCCTACAATTGCGAAATTATGTGGGGCAAATATTTGTTGTTTTTTCATTTGTTAGCTTTGCACACTATTTAGGCAGAACACCGCTCCCATATTATTATATTGAGGAAATGATGCGATACGATGACAGGACCTGGAGGAAGTCAAAGCTGCAATAGATTGGGAAAAGGAAGAAACTAACGAAGAAGAAGAAGATATTACTGTTTATCTTTCTGATAAAAAAGAGAATACTTTCAACAAAAAACTCGCCCCGTTGGAAAAATCTCTTGTAACTACTCTTTTCGATTATCGAAAATGGAATAGGCCTTTGCGATATATAAAAAATGATCACTTTGAAAGGGTTGTAAGAGATGAAAATTCACAATTTTTTTTTCAGGTATGTCAAAGTGATGGAAAAAAACGAATATCTTTCACGTATCCACCTCATTTATCTACTTTTCTGAAAATCATGGAAAAAAAAATGGATCTCTTCAGAAGAGATAAAACCTCCTATAATGATAATGAATTGTCTAATTATTGGAGCTCTGTTAATAAAGAAAAAGGAAATAAACTAATCAATGAATTTTTTCAAAGGGCAAAAATGATAGATAATAAATCTATTAAATTTAGTCCTGTGGATGTATTTGAAAATCGAATTAGATTGTCTGATGATAATAGGAAAACAAAATACTTAACTAAAATATATGATCCTTTCTTGAATGGACGCGTTCGTGGAGAAATCCAAAAAGGCTTTTCACCCTTCATTCCAAATGAAACTGACACAACAAACTACATTTTGATAAATAAGATTCATGGTCTCCTTCTTTCTATTAATAGTAATGATCCAGAATTTGAACAGAAAATAGATCAATTTGATAGAAAATTATTATTAAATGAAATTGGTTTTTTTTTTAACTTAATCAGTAAATTTTCGGAAAAATCAGTATCAAGTTTGAATTTTGACGGACTTTATTTATTTCCAGAACATGAACAAGTAAAAATATATTCCGAAGAAAAAAAAACAAAAAGAAAATTATTATTGGACGCAATTCGAACTGATCCTACTAATAATACAATTTTTAATAGAAAACTATGTAGTGAAATAAACGAAATAAGTAAAGAAGTTCCTCGATGGTCATACGACTTAGTCGACGAATTGGCGGTATTGATGGACGCGAGTCCAAAGGAGTCTCAGATTCGTTCCCCAAAAGCTGACCGTATAGTTCTTTTTAATAGTAAAACAGATTCTAATGACAATCAGAATAGTGCTGAACCGGACAGAAATACTGAATTTGCTGTAGTTCATTATTCACGCGAACCAGATTATTGCCGAGACCTAATCAGAGGATCTATGCGCCCTCAAAGGCGTAAAACAGTAACTTATAAACTCTTTCAAGGAACTGCACACTCCCCTCTTTTTTTGGAGATAATGGGCGACTACGCGTTCTTGTTTGGTGATCTTGTCTATGATATCTCCCAATATTTGAAAGAATATTTCAGGAAA